ACACTGGGACCATGTGGGAAATCCAGGCTAAGCTCCCTATTTTAAGGCCCACTGACGAGCGACTTTAGTTCTGCTGGCAACTTTAGCTCTCCTTTGCCATATTCATAGGTTCTGCAGATTCAGGGGTGGACATTTTTGAGGGACCATTATTCTGCCTTCCACAGTAATTAAATAGCAAATCAACCACACCATTTTTCAAGGACTTCAAAGTTATTATACTGTGTAGATGTGCCTGCAATTATTTAACTGATATCTTGTTAAAGGATATTCCTTGATTAGTTCACTTAATAAATATTCATTAGGTAACTACCATGCTCCATGTTAGATAGGAACATATTTATGAGCAATCATTTATGTACTTCTATTTTAATTATTATAAGCAATATTTTAGTCATCAATCTTGTGCACATATCTTTTAAGTCTCCAATTATTTCCTTAGAATAAATTCCAAGATTTGGAAATTATGTTTTATACATTTTGTGTATTTTCTTGCTAAGTTGTCTTAGCCTCCCAAACTGCTTGGATTAGGTATGTGCCACTGTAACAAGCTTGTGTGGCCTTTTCTACTTAACCTACTCCACTGTGTTTTTCCCCTTTGAATTTCAAACATATAAGTAAACGCAAAAACTATATTATTCCATAATTTCACTGATCTTATAGCATTTTTAATTTATTCTTTAGACTGTTGTTACTTGCATTTTCATCTTAGCATTGCTTGTAGTTTTTAAAATTTGAATGCTGTTTTAGCTTCACCATATTAATTACTCCTCAGATTAAAAACCAGCAAGAGAGTAGAACTAATTATATATTTACAGAGAAATTTAAAAATAGAAAGACAAGTATAATTACTTACCATCCAACTATCTTTCAGTAGGAAAGAGCCTGTGCATGTTTGAGAGGAACAATAAAATATCCTTGGAATTTTTTCAAGCATGTAGTTATGTCCAAGTTTAGTATAGAAAACTTAATTCATAAATCCATGAACAAACAGAAATCTCTGAAAATCAAGTTCTTTCTTTCCCTTAGGTGGTTCATTCATACAGATGAACTGTGAATTTTGTATCTGATTGTGTTTGACCCTTTGCTTTGGTTGTATGAAGCTTGAAATTAATTTCTGGTCCATCTTTAGTAATTATTATTATTATTTTTTAGTACTAGGGATTGAATCTAGGGGCACTTTGTCACTGAGCTACATCCCCAGTCCTTTTTATGTTTTGAGACAGGGTCATGCTAAGTTGTACAGGCAAGCCTCAAATTTATAATCCACCTGCATTGGCATCACTAGTCTCTGGGATCATGGGCCTGTACCACTGTGCCTAACATACTTCCTTTACTCTTACATGCTTTCTATCTATTTATGTTTTGTTATATATATATATAAATTATGTATATATAAATATATATATTTATATATACATAATTTTGAATTTACTATAAATCATTTCTGAAGCACAGTAGATATAAATAACTGATCAAATAAATATATGAATATATATAAAATATGATAAACAAATTAGATAAAATGTACAGTTTGTGCTCCTTGTCTTCTCACCCAAGTTTAGCTTAGCAGGGCACTTATTTCTTATATCTGAGCTTTGTAAATTGTGTGGCCCTATAAGGACAGTCAAAAGATGAACCTACTGTGTCTCCATTTCTCCTATGATCCAGCCTCTGGAGTGGACTCTAGGTGTACACTGGATATTTAGATTTTAAAGAAACCCTTTTGATGCTAACAAATGTGCAAACCTGTCTTTATACTACATAATCAATACAAACACATCAGCTGATAGTATTCATTGAGTATTTTACTGTGTGTTCTCTTGCATTCTCCTATTCCTATTGTCTAAAGTTAAGGTAGGTTTCAGGTACATCACTAGGCCTTTACCTCTGCTGCTCTGACACCATATCTAAACAGGCAGGACTAGGGTTTGAGCATTATTATAAAGTACATACAAACCTTACACAGAAGTATTTTATAGGGTAAAAAAGACTGTACATCTAAGTCACACTGAGAGTGATGACTATAGGAACTAGTAAGTCCTAATTCATGTTTCCATTAGAAAGTAGTACTTGCTTGGAACTTTGCAAGTATATTAAGCCACAGAGGAGAAGTCCTTTGACTTCTGTGCACTTGGAAGTCTGCTATGTGTGCGCACACAGGGAGGAACCTGGGCATTTGCTAGATGTTGAGCTTTTGGATCCATTCTGATTGCTTCTCCCAGATGAGGCAGGAGTATCCCATTTACAAGGAATTAAACATTCCCATTATCTTATTTTGTCTCTCAATACTTTTTGTTTTAGTATGAGGAATTGACTCCAGGGATGTTTTAGCACAGAAGCTATATCCCCAGTACTTTTTATTTTGAGACAGGGTCTTGCTAAGTTGCTTAGGGCCTCAGTAAATTGCTGAGGCTGGCTTTGAACTTGTGATCCTTCTGCCTCAGCCTCCTGAGTTGCTGGGATCACACCAGCTATCCAATACTTTATTGCTGCTAATGATATAAATTGCATCTTACTGTGTTAAGCTTGTATACTTTGAGACTGACTTTTTTAAGGGCCAGTTTTATGCATTACTTAGCATCCCTAGCACCCAACAAGTGCTTAGTGCACAATAAAATAATAATTAGGTGGGAACCAAAATATATGAGGTGAGATTTTACAAGTCCCTTGCTCTATCAGTTATTATATATTTAGTTATACTTTATTAACAAGTATTTAAGAGCTTTCTATGTATGAAGCATTGTACTTTGCCTGGTCATATAAATTCTGAATGAGCTATAATTCAGCAAAGAACCAAACCCTAATGTGATCAGGCTTGAACCACAAGCCTCTTAGTGGAAAGGGCTTCTTAAGGACTATCTACTTCCTCTCTGGTAAACAGTAACTTGTGGGGCCCAAAATTTTATTTTTCTATCTTCATTTTAGGGCCAGGAAAGAAAGAGGAGATGCCTATGTGACACACCCAAGTCCCACACTCACTGCATACAACAGAATACCATAATAAGAACCAAATAATAAACTTTAATTTGGATATAATACAATGGTGTATAATTCTTATGAGGTACAAAAATAATTGTAAAATATTTTTCTCCATTTGCAAGTAATTCTGCTATGGACTATAAACAGTACAATGATGCTATAAACTGTACACATTATACTACATTCCTAAACCTGGGCCTTCCTCTCTCTTATAGCACAACATGTAAGAAAAACAGCCATGCAGCTTAAATCCTGTCAAGTCATTTTAGAAGTAGTAGTTATCCTTAATAACAGAGTTGGATCCTACTTCTATTTAAACTAGTCTTTATGTTTCTGGCTCAATCCTATAGATCAAAAGATGTCTAAAAATTAGACTAAAAATTCTGCAGGTTTTTTTGGAATAGGTATTTCCCCTCCCCCTCCAAGAGAGAAAAATGTCAGGAGGAATCTTAGGTGTTAAATTCAACAAAAGCTCATTTAAAGGTAAATCACCATTAATGGAAAAGCTTTTCAAGTATAAGAAATTTTGAAAATAATAGCAATTCATTGGAAGACAAATTTAATTGCCAAAAGCTACTGAGGAGTTCTGTCTTTCCACTATTGTATTTCTTTCTTTCTTCTTTTTTTTTTTTTTTTCTGGGAATTTAAGACAGGGATGCTTTGCCATTGAGCCACATCCCCAGCCCTTCCTAATATTTTAAGCAAAGAAAGATTTACAAGAATGATTCAAAAAATTATGGCAAGTTCTGCCCAGATCTGATTCACTAGTGCCTTTGATACTGAGAACCAGTCATTATTGAAAGAGTAGAAACAAAATAATGAGGAAATAGAAGCTTTGGCTTATGAAAACTGATATATCTTTGTTTCCTAGAATTCCATTCAGTTTGTTGTGATTTGTGCTCTGATTAGATCTGAGTCCAACATAAAAGATAGGAAAACTGGCCATTTTCCTAAGCAGAGCTGAAAGAACCCATATAACTGTCCTGAGGTAAATGGCTATCTTTGGTCGCTGGTCTTCACTACTAGGTGGTTTTAACTCCAGCTATGTTCCCATCTCCTGTCTGTACAACTCTTTCATCCATAGTGGGATGTTGGGGTAGGAGGAAGAACTAACTTAGTGCTTATAGGAATTCTTTCTTTCTTTCATTCTCTTCCCATTTGTGTTGGATAGGGAACACTCTGCATTTTCTAGACCTATAACACTGGGTACCTTACATTTATAGAAAAAAATACATAATGTAGAAACAAAGGTAATCTAATATGTAAAATAATGTGGATCTACTTCCAGAAAACAGTCTGTGAGTCCAAAAGTGCTCAGTTGTGCTTCAGGTTTATGTTGTGAGAGCTCAGAAACATGGGGCTGCAATATGACTGAGGACAAAGTCTGACCACTAGGAGGCCCCTTGAGAGCTCTACACAGTCTATGGTTTATCACCATTACATTAATCAATGCCCACAATGCACATATATAAAACCTCTGTAGCTCTGCTTTCAAAATATGATGCTTATTCAGCTAATACATTAAGAAAAACTCTAACCTGCTTTATTATCTAAAATATGATGGAGAAGTGAGTAATGAGATTTGTTTCCTGAATACTTTCAGAGGCAGCACACACATTTTTTTATAGTACTCACCTTTTAAAAAACTGCAGTACTCATCTTACTCCACAGTAAAATATTATCATCAACAATTCAATTACTGAAAGAGAAGTCCCATAAGTCTATTATCTATTAATAACTGGATGGCTGATAGAGGATTTTACTGCCACTCTGAGAATCACCCTGCTAGTTAAAAACCTCTGTTCTTTGAGATTCAGAGATGCATCACAAAATCCTTTACAGAATCTGTGCTAAAATAGGATAATGTACAGAGATGGCTAAAATAACAAGATAGAATGATGGTGATTCTTGAGTATCAAAGACACATGTTATTGCAGCTGGGAGAAAATGCCTTGAAATGCTAACATGAAAAGAAAAGGAAAAAAAAAACAGAAAAAAAAAAAAAAAAAGGGCTATGCTGCTTTCCTTAAAGTCAGTAAACTACCTAAGAGTACTCTGAGTATTTTTGGAAGAAAGGCACCAGATAAGTCCAAAGTCTTATTGCTAGTAGGATCATACAAGGGCCACGGCACAGATAACAGTACTTTGTTCAGTCAGCAAAGTCTAAGTCAGTCACTGATCTTGAGGCTTGAAAAGCAAGGAACGAGCCCCGTGTCTTATATTCAACTTGAGGAAAATGATTTCCAATTTTAAGTCGAGGTGGAAGCTGATTCTTACGATTAGGACTCAAGCTATTTTAGATAGGCACTCTGTTTTCTTTGGCCCATTTCTTCATGATTCGAATGATGTATTCTACTTGGGTGTTACCTGTGCTTCTCAGTAAATGCAGCACTTCTCGAAGGGTCTCTCTAAAGAAAAGATTTGAAAGAACAAAGTATTTCAATAAATATGAAAATTAACAAAATAAACTAGTAATTTCAAACTGTACTTCTAGCAGGGCATCTGTGAATAGAATCTACCATGGTATACTCATAAGCCAATTAAAAACTTCCTGGATTTATGGGGGCTGGGGTTGTAGCTCAGTGGTAGAGAGCTTGCCTAGCATGGTTCGATCCCCAGCACTACATAAAACTAAATAAACAAAATAAAGGTATTGTATCCATCTACAACTAAAAATATTAAAAAAAAAACAAAAACTTCCTGGATTTATCTTCTTACAGTGGCATAGTAAAATGAGAGATCTTGTGAAATACTCCTTGTCAACCCAGGGTCTCCTTACTTATCTGTATTATCTAACTACATACTACTAATTGTTTTGTCCTTGAGACTAAATATTTCTACACTTAATTTGTATGATAAGGTAGAAAACATATATATATATATCTCCAGGTGTCAGATTCTGGGAGCTTGATTCAAATTCTAGCTTCACAGTTAATGAGTCACTTCATTTGTCTGACCCTTACGTTTCTCCTTTGTTTAAGGTGGTAATCACTTTAAATTGGGTATCATTACCATAGTTGGAAAAAAAATTTTTTTTTGCATTTTTTTTTTTTGGTACTGGTGATTAAACTTAGGGGCACTTGACCACTGAGCTATATCCCCAGCCCTATTTTTGTATATTTATTTAGAGACGGTCTCAATGAGTTGCTTAGCACCTTGCTTTTGCTGAGGCTGGCTTTGAACTTGTAATCCTCTTGTCTCAGCCTTCCTAACCCCTGGGATTACAGGCGTGTGTCAGCCATTTCTTCCACATTTTTATTGGTGTTTTATAGTTGTACATACTGATGGGATTTGTTGTTACACATGCATACATAGACAAAACACAACAACAATACAATTTAGCTAATATCACTCCCCAGAACTCTTCCTGCCCCCCTCCCATACTTTGATCCCTTTCCTCTAATGACTCCCTTGATTTTTAGGAGATCCACCCTTCCCTTTGTTTTCCTTTTTCTTCTCCAGCTTCTGCATATTACAGAAAATATAAGACCAAAAACCCTCTGAGTTCGACTTATTTCATGTAACTTTGATGGTCTCTAGTTCCATCCATTTTCCTGCTAATGATATCATGTCTTTCTCTGTCTCTCTCTCTCTCTCCCCCATCCTCAGCAGTCCTGGGGATTGGACCCGGGCCTTGTACATGCTAGGAAAGAGCTCCATCATTTTTCTTTATAGCTGAGTAAAACTCCATTGTGTACATATACCACATTTTCTTTATCCATTCATCCACTGATGGACACCTAGGCCGGTTCCATGGTTTGGCTATTGTGAATGCTTAAATGTGGGTATGTATGTATCACTGTAGTAAGATGACTTTAATTTTTCAGGATAAATACCAAGAAGTGGTATATCTGGGTCACAAGGTGATCCCATGTCCAGTCTTTTAAGGAACCTCCATACGGATTTCCATAGTGCTTGTAGTAATTTACAGTCCCACCAACAGTGTAAAAGTGTTCCTTTTTCTCCACATCCTTTTCAGCATTTATTATTATTTGTATTCTTGATAATCGTTATTCTGACTGGTGTGAGATGAAATATCAGTGTAGTTTTGATTTGCATTTTCCTAACTGCTAATGATATTGAGCATTTTTCACGTATTTGTTGTCCATTTGTATTTCTTATTTGAGAATTACCTATGTGGTTCATTGCCCATTTATTAACTGGGTTGTTTGATCTTTTGGTGTAAAGTTTTTCAAGTTCTTTATATATTCTAGATATTAATCCTCTGTCAGAAAATAGCTAGTGAGGATTTTTCTCCCATTCTGTGGGTTCTCTCTTCACATGCCTAATTATTTCCTTTGCTGTGCAGAAGTTTTTTAATTTGAAGTCATCCCATTTATTAACCCTTAGCATTATTACTTGAGCTTTAGGGGTCCTATTGAAAACTCATTGTGCCTAAAAGCTGGAGTATTGATCCTATGTTTTCTTCTAGGAGTGGCATAGTTTCTGGTCTAATTCTGAGGTCTTTGTTCCATTTTGAGTTGATTTTTGTGCAGGATGAGAAATAAGGGTCCACTTTCAATCTTTTACATATGGATAACCAGTTGTCCCAGCACCATCTCCAATGTATATTTCTGGCACCTTTGTCAAGGATCAGATGATTGTATCTGTGTGTGTTTATCTGTTTTCTATTTTATACCTTTGATCTATGTGTCTGCTTTTATGCCTGTATTGTGCAGGTGTTTTTCTTTTTGTTTTGTTTTGGTTTTTTTTAGTTTCAAGCATTTAATAAACATTAAAAAAGAGCATTATTCATAATACATGACAGAAGATGACAGTCACATTGGTAACTTTTAGTCAGTAAATTATGTATGTTTTTTTAATGCATCTTACCTTTTCATATTTACTTAAAAAAAAAAAACAAGATTGAGAACATGCTGCTTTAAATCATTACAGTATATCATTATTATCTTTCCTTAAAATATTTTGTTCCAAGTGGGGATTTTAACTTACCCAGGGAGGTTTCTCATTTGGCTCCTGATAACCTGTCTCTTTCTCTTGCTTTTGTTACTAGTCTGTCCTGTAGATAACAATTTTGTATAGATGGTTGTGTTGCACCTGTACCCTAAGTGTAGACAGAACAGGGGAAGCCTTTGCCCACTTCACCCCTCAGTCTTGCAGAGGATTGTGGTCACAGGCTCTGAGAACTGCATAGGTCCAGGCCCAGGTCTGAGGCTTCCTGGCATCATGGTACATGTTGGGCAAGAGGTCAACTTGCTATTTCTCTCTCTCTCTCTAGGGCTGAACCCAGGGGTGCTCTACCACTGAGCTCCATCCGGGTCCTGTTTTGTTTTGAAATAGGTCTCGCCAAGTCGATGAGGCTGGCGTCTAACTTTCGATGAATCCTCCTGCCTCAGTCCCAAATCCCCGGGATTAAAAGTGCCTGTCTCCTTGCTGTTTTTCAGTCCTGGGTTTTCTGCATTGGGTTTTGTGGGGAATAAATCATCTGATACAAGGCAAGTAAGTTACTTTTTCTTCTCTGCCTTTCTTTGATATTCTCTTAGCGTGGAACTGTAGGATAGAAATGCAAGTCATCGCTCCCTTCTAAAGATGCACGTAAGAGCTGCTGTGGCAGGGAGAGGTGCAGTGTTCTCAGGAAACTGCCATGGTGAAAAAATGAAGCCAATGAAGTTAAAATGAACCAAATTCTACAGTGACAGGCTTAGACTTGTTTTGCTGGGGGGGTGAGGCTGACTATCAGAGAGTTAGTTCAGGGATAACTCTTCCCTCAAGATCCAATGTTGTATTTGTTTCAATGCAGGTCCGGAGTCTACAGAGTAACAAATATCAAACTTTTTAATTTTTTTTTTTTTTGCCAGTACTCGGGAGATTGAGCCCAGAGCCTCATGTAATGAGCCTTTTTATTTGTTATTTTGAGAGAGCATATTGCTGAGTTATCCAAACTGCCCTAAACTTGTGATCCTCTTACCTCAACCTCCTGAGTAGCTGGGGTTACAGGTATGTATAACCATGCCTAGCTTCAGAAATATTTTAAAACTACACAGATTTCTTATCGCATCCCTTTCACCTGAAATTCTCAACCTTTGATATTCTCTGTAATAAATTTAACTCATGTTCACGTACATCTCCTTTTGACAAGTTCTCAATGAAACCTGACTAATTTTCACTAACTAGTCTTTTATGAGATTATAAAGGAAACTAAAATTACACTGTGAATTCAGCTATCTGCTGAAGGAAATGATTTGAATGATAAAGAGTCTTATTGTTTACAATGTCATAATTTTTATTCTGTGAAATGAAAGCATAATGCAAAGAAAATTATGTTTGTTTTGGTGTATCTTCTTGGTTTGTAGTGTATCTGTGTGTGTGCACATGCACAAGATATAACTTCTTAATTGCACAGACATTTTACTTATTTTTGTACTTGGGACTGAATCTGGGACTTTGTGCATTAGCACTCTACCATTGACCTACATCCCCTGTACTTTTTATTTTAAAATTTTTTTAGTTATAGTTGGGCATAATACCTTTATTTTATTTGTTTGTTTTTATGTGGTGCTGAGGATCGAACCCGGCTCCTCACACATGCTAGGCGAGCGCTCTACCGCTGAGCCACAATCCCAGCCCCCCTGTACTTTTTATTCTATTTGAGACAGGGTCTTATTAAGTTGCCCAGGCTGGAAGTAGCTAGGATTATAGGTGTAAACCACAGTGACCTACTAGGTTGTTTCTTCTTCTTCCTCCTCCTCCCTCTTCCTCCTCCCCCTCCCTCCTTCTCCTTCTCCTTCTCCTTTTTCTTTTTTGTGATACTGGAGATTGAACCCAGGGCGTCCCACATGCTAGGCAAGCCCTCTACCACCAAGCTCCATCCCTAGCTTCTTGAATCTACTTTAAGAATGTTATCTGTGCTGGGTGTGGTGGCACATGTCTGTATTCCTGGCAACTCCGGAGGCTAAGACAAGAGGATTGCAAGTTCAAAGCTAGCCTGAGCAATTTAGCAAGACCATTAGCAACTTGGTGAGATCTCATCTCAAAAAATAGAAAGAAGCCAGTGGTGCATGCCTGTAATCCCAGCAGCTCAGGAGTCTGAGGCAGAAGGATCACAAGTTCAAAGCCAGCTTCAGCAATTTAGTGATGCCCTAAGTAACTTAGTGGGACCCTGCCTCAAACTAAAATATAAAAGGGCTGGAGATATGGCTCAGTGGTTGAGCACCCCTGAGCTCAATGCCTGGGAATGTAGCTCGGTGGTAAAGGGTCCCTGGGTTAGATCCCCAGTATCAAAAAAAGAATGTTATCTGCAACCAGTGTGGTGGCAAATGTCTGTAATTCCAGCTATTGGGGTAGGGGTGGGGCAGCTGAGAGAGGATGATTCCAAATTCGAGGTTAGCCTCAGCAACTCAGTGAGACACAGTCTCAAAATTAGTTCAGAGGTAGAACCCCTGGGGTTCAATCTCCAGTACCACCAAAAAAAAAAAAAAAAGGTGGTGAGATTAACAACAGGAATTACTTGTAATGTTTTTCTTGTATACATTTGAAAATGTTGTCATCATTTTACTTTTTTAAACAAATTTTAAAAAAATATTTATTTTTCAGTTTTAATGGACACAATATCTTTATTTTTATGTGGTGCTGAGGATCAAACCCAGTGCCTCATACATGCTAGGCGAGTGCTCTACCACTGAGCCACAACCCTAGCCACATTTTACCTTTTTTTTAATCTTATTTTTAAAATTAATTAATTAATTTTACAGTAGAATGCATTTTAACATATTGTACAAAAATGGAGTACAACTTCTCATTCCTCTGGCTGTACATGGTTCAGAGTCACTCCCCTAGTGTAATCATACATGTATATAGGGTAATAATGTCTGTCTCTTTCTACCTTCCTTCCCATCCCCACTACCCCAACCTCCCCTCACTCCCCTCTACACAAACCAAAGTTCCTTCATTCTTCCCCCTCCTCCCACCCTGCTATGGATCAGCATCCACTTATCAGAGAAAACATTCAGGTCTTGGTTTTTTGGAACTGGCTAATTTCACTTAGTATGATATTCTCTAGTTCCATCTATACTTTACTGCAAATGCCATAATTTCATTCTTCTTTAAGGCTGAGTAATATTCCATTGTGTATATGTACCATGTTTTCTTTATCCATTCCTCTGTCAAAGGTTACCTAGGTTGGTTCCATAGTTTAACTGTTGTTAATTGAGCTGCTATAAACATTGATGTGGCTGCATTACTGTAATATGCTAATTTTAAATCCTTTGGGTATAAACCGAGGAGAAGGACAGCTGGGTCAAATGGCAAATTCATTCTAAGTTTGCTGAAGTATCTCCATACTGCTTTCCATAATGGTTGCACCAACTGGCAGTCCCACCAACAATGTGTGAGTGTGCCTTTTCCCCAACATCCTCTCCAACACTTATTATTGCATGTATTCTTGATAATTGCCATTCTGACTAGAGATGAAATCTTGGAGTAGTTTTGATTTGCATTTCTTTAATTGCTAGAGATGATGAACATTTTTTCATGTTTGTTGATCAACCAACTGTATTTCTTCTTCTGTAAAGTGTCTGTTCAGTTCCTTAGCCCATTTATTGGTCCGGTTATTTGTTTTTTTTTTGTTGTTGTTGTTGTTTTGGTGTTAAGTTTTTTGAGTTCTTTGTATACCCTGGATATTAGTGCTCTATCTGAGGTGCATGTGGTGAAGATTTTTTCCCATTCTGTAGGCTCTCTCATCACATTATTGATTGTTTACTTTGCTGAGAAGCAGCTTTTTAGTTTGTATCCATCCCATTTATTTAGTTTGAATTATCCCATTATTGATTCTTGATTTTACTTCTTGTGCTTTAGGAGTCTTATTCAAGAAGTCAGGGCCTAAGCCAACATGATAAAGATTTGGACCTACTTTTTATTCTATTAGGCGCAAGGTCTCTGTTCCAGTCTTTGATCCATTTTGATTTGATTTTTGTGTAGGGTAATAAATAAGGGTCCACTTTCATTCTTCTCCATATGGATAATTCAGTTTTTCCAGCACTATCTCCAATGTATATTTTTGGCACTTTTGTCAAGGGTCAGATGATTGTATCTGTGGGTTTGTCTCTGTGTCTCCTATTTTATACCATTGGTCTCTGTCTGTTTTTATGCCTGCACTGTGCAGTCTTTGTTACTATAGCTCTGCAGTAAATTTGAAGCTGGGTATTGTGATGCCTCCAGTATTGCTTTTTTGACTTAAAATTGCTTTGGCTTTTCTGGGTCTTCTATTCCAAATAAATTTTAGGATTGTTTTTTCTATTCTGTGAAGAATATCATTGGTATTTTGATGGGCATTGCACTAAATCTGTATATTGCTTTTGGTAGTATGGCCATTCTAACAATGTTAATTCTGCCTGTCCATTAACATGGGTGGTCTTTCTATCTTCTGAGGTCTTCTTCAATCTTGTTCTTCAATGTTCTATAGTTTTCATTGTGACGGTATTTTCACCCCCTCTTTCAACTCCTTGGTTACATGTATTCTTAGGGTTTTAATTTTATTTTTCAGGCTATTGTGAATGAAACTGTTTTCTGGGTTTCTTTCTCAGCAGATTTGTTGTCAGTATATAGAAAAGCTATTGATTTTTGAATGCTGATTTTGTAACCTGTTACTTTGCCAAATTTGTTTATTAGCTCTGGAAGTCTTTTAGTGGAGGTGTTTTGTTTTGTTTGTTTTTGTATCTTTTAGGTATAGAATCACATCATTCATGTCATTTGCAAACTGTGGTAATTTGACTTCTTCCTTTCCTATTTTTATCCCTTTATTTCCTTCTTTTGCCTAATTGCTCTAGCTAGAATTTTTAGCACAATATTAAATAGAAGTAATGAGAGTGGATATCCCTATCTTGTTAATATTCCTAAAATTTTACAAAGCTAGAGGAAGAGGTGATTTCTTCAAGAAATTTGGTCAGGAAAGCCTCAACTACATTAATAAACATAGAAGAGAGGAGCATAAAAGAATAAGATTTGGTGAATGACCAGCATTTATGCTTTAACTAATTTAATTTAATTAATTTTAAAACATTTTACGTAATGCACGCTAAAACCTGCTTATTGATTTTCCAGACCTATATGTAACTGTCTCTGGATCCACTTCCCTAACAATCTTTTCATATTTTCTACTTCTTTTCCCCACACCTTCTTTCACCTGACCAAATGCTTTTAAATTTTTGTTTAGGATTAGAAATAGGTACAAGGCAGGAAGTAATTTTTGATAGATTACTTGCTTACAAAATTATCATATTTTCTATTCACACATGAGCAACAAATATATTCCATTGAGTTATTTTAGGACATTTAATTTAGCTTTTAAGTGTTTTAATTTTAATTCAAATGAAGTATAACACTTTGTGGAACACAAAAAGACAAAGGAAAAAAAACAGAGTTATCAGCCATATCCACTTAATTCCTAATTCTTTGAGGCCTAAACTAAGACAAGAAAAAGCCAATAAGCAAAGAAAAGAGTAAGATTTTGTTTATAAAATTGGCTATTACCCATCACTGTAAACAACAAGAAAAAATAAAATGGCTGTTCATTTGGAACAAAATATATACATCTTGCCCTTCTACATAAGAGCTGTAGCATACTCAGTGTTCCAGTATATAAAATTTAAAATGATTTGATTCTGTAAAAGTAAGACATTTCTGGAGGATGGTCAGAAATATTTAACATCTTAACATTTTTTTTCATTATTCTAAAACATTATTATAACTTTGAGTTTTCAGAAGATATCATCCAAGAAAACAAATGTTTTCCCTCACACACCAAAAATGAATAGTGATAGTATCTCCTGTCTGTTTACTTACTTGGGTTCTCTCCCAGCTAAGATCATCTGGAAAATGCCCACACACGCACCCCTTTTGCCTTCCCAGTATTCGGGGTTGGGATCTAGCCTCTCTAGGACATCAAAAGCTTTGGCTGAGTAGTAAAACTGGCCCATCTGAATAAAAGAAAGTGTTATGGTAATACTTGTAGTCAAAAAATTGGACACTAATCATACAGATAACATGAAATAGAACTGTACGAAATAGGTGATATGGGTAAATGACAATGTTTTCAGTTAGCAAGTTAAATAAATTCCAACTCCTAACTAAAATGAGAAGGAAAATCACAGTTTGAGTACAAATTCAGTTTAAATTAGTTTACCTTCATTCCATTTTCAATAGTGTAATTTTTTTTTTACATATAGCCAAGTTATACTGCCATCAACCCTTGTTATTTCTTCTAAGTACATTTGAATCTTGAGGATAAGCCCTAATGACTGATTTGAACTGGATATTTTTCAAGTGTCCTTAATACATTCTTTTTACATTACTACAATTCATCTTATCTTAATCTAATTATGTTTAATTCAAGAGTAGTCTTTTTCTGTTCTTGTTCTTAAATTCTCAAAATGCCTAGATGTATACTGACCTTTAGTCTAAATACTCAGTTTCTTAAATATGTAATCCATTTTGACAGACACGTTTCCCAATATAGTACATTCCTTGACCTCTTGGAACAGGCTGAAGACCATTAAGTTTTACTTTGATGTGTGTGTGTGTGTGTGTGTGTGTGTGTTTGACTGGCAATTGTAAATGCACATTGCCAACAACTTCACTTAGGTTTCCAAACTGCTGGGCAACCTCTTCACTTGGCATGGTTTGGCTACTTCTCTATACCTTCTATTAACTATTTTTCTAAACTTTTGGCAATTTCCCAAAGGCCTCTACTGCATTCTTAATTTAGCTCAATTTTATACTTGACAGGGAAAACAAGTTTCTTCCCTTCACTTCAAATAATACTTACAACTTCATTCATCTTCCCATTCTCTCTTATTCTTTTCAAGGTTAATCCTTCTACCTATGTACTAAAATATTTTATTATAAAATACACAAAGATAGAATAGTACAGGAAACATACATGTACATCTTACAAACTATAATGTGAATATAAATGTGTCCATCACTCAGGTCAAGACACTGAAACAAAATAAAGGCTCTCTGTGTGTCACTGCCAGACCACAATCCTCCCCTTCCCCACCAAGAGGTAATTACTATTCTTTTATAGTCATTAATTCTTTGACTTTCTTTATAGTTTTGCCTTCTATCTATATATCTTTAAAAAATATGAATCTGTTTTGCCTCTCTGAACTCTAGATATATGAAACAATACTGCAATATTCTTTTTTTTTTGGGGGGGGAGGGAGTACCAGGGATTGAACTAAAGGGCACTCAACTACTGAGCCACATCCTCAGTCTGATTTTTATTTTATTTAGAGATAGGGTCTCACTGAGTAGCTTAGTGCCTTGCTTTTGCTAAAGCTGGCTTTGAACTCATGATTCTCCTGCCTCAGCCTCCCTAGCTGCTGGGATTATAGGTGTGAGCCTCTGTGCCTGGCTTGCAATACTCTTTTGTGTCTTGCATTTGACTCAACATTATATTTGTAAAATGCATTTACATTGCTCTAATTGGTTCATTTCTTAAAAAAAAAAAAAAAAACTTATTTTGAAATAATTATAGATCTATAGATAGTTACAAAGATAGACATAGGTTATGTGTACCTTTTATCCAGTCTCCCTAATTGTTATGGCTTATGTAAATACAATATAATATCACAATATCAAAACCAGGAAATTGACATGGGTACTTTGTGTTGATAATAGTCCTATCATTTTGCCACATGAGTGGATTCATATACGTACCACCACTATTAAGATACAGAACTATTCCATCATCACAAAGATTTGGTTACCATTCATAGTCACATGCATGCCCTTCCCTGCTCACCACTCCTAAACCTGTAACAACAATATATTTTGTTCTCTATCTGTATAATTTTGTCATTTCAATAATGTCCTTCCTTTCTTCCTTCCTTCCACCCTGGAGATTGAATCCAGGGGTGCTTAATCACTGACCCACATCCCCAGATCTTTTTTATCTATTTTATTTAGAGACAGGGTTTTGCTGAGTTACTTGGGGCCTTGCTAAGTTGCTGAAATTGGCTTTGAACTTGTGATTCTCCTGTCTCAGCCTCCTGAGCCACTGGGCATGCTTCACCATGCCTGGAAAGAATGTTACATATTTCACATACATATAAAAACAAACAGTATGGGACCCTTTGAGGTTGGATTTTTTTAACAGAATATAATGTCCTTATTCCTTGTTAATCTAAGTTACAGGTTTGACAATAGTTGGCCGTCATTATGGTCATCCTGCAAAAGAAGGAGGGATCCCCACCCAAAGTTTGATTGTGGTATTGAGAGTGGAGATGTCACATATACCCCAAGGGGTATGAGAAGATTTCTTACATACATAGTTGAGGTCTCTTTCAAGAGCAGAGTAGACCTCTCAAGCAGGTCTGATATGGCCTGAGAAAGTAGAAAAAGGATTCTGGCCTGGGGTTAGGGGTGAAGACCAGGTGGGGCATCCTGAGCTGGGTCAGTGCTTGAATGGTTTATATCACCCAATGGCACCAAGGGAGGCAGCATCCAGGCTTTCTTGTCATTTTGTCAGATGTGGGGCCCAAAGGGATGAAGGAGGGGTGATGTTTAAAAGCCATCAACACTCAAACATCAGGAAATGGAGTCAGTCTCCTCATCCGTTTCTTTTTATATGTTTAACCATTCACCTATATAAAGATTTTTTTCTAGTTCGACACTATTACAAATAAAGCTATTATTAACATTTGGTGTTTGTATGGATAGAAGTTTCCATTTCTCTGGGATAAATGTATAGGCCATCATTGTAAGTGTGTTTGTATCGAGTCCTTCTAGTGAATCGCGAAACTAGTGGGTTGCTGTGAGAAGATAGTGCCAAGTTGTTTTTCACGGTGATCATTTTCCTTTGACTTTAACACTATCCCACTTTTATCTCCTCTATAGCTTTAATCCATCAAAAATGCCTATACTGTCTTGAATCTTTATCTCCCTTTCCTTAGCCTACAGTATAATTTTACCCATCAAAATTAACTCTCCACCCCAACTCCCCTAAATCCATACTGTTTTCCCTTTTAAGCTGGCACCATAATTTTTTTCGTTAACCTCAAAATCATGAATTTAAAGACTCTGGTCAACATTATACTCATTACACCTGTTTTCTAATCTGACTTTCTTCTCTATCTGCGGCTACTGCCATCTCAGTTCTTGTATATTTCTATCTAGATATAGAATTTAACATTCCCCCTTCCTTGGCTTGTGATAGATAGGAATTAGAAAAAGAGAAATGAAAATCATTTTTTCCTCTCCTGATTTTTCTAAATACTTTTCTGGGTTCACTCTGTGAGTTTCCTAATTGTATAGTCTCTATTGGGAGCTCCAATGATACTTGGTATTTAATACATCTAAAATTGAAATCATTTCCTGTCTGTTAATGTTTTCTTTTCCTCAGCCTTCTGGAACTTACTTAATCACTTAATCACTGAATCATATTAAACTATTATTTTCAAGTTTCCAGTGTCTCGAATCCTTCTCTAATGGCGATACTTCTTTTTTAGTAATGATTCACTTTGAAACATGCTGTTATCGATTAGCTTAACACTGTATTCTCTTTATCTGATATTTTCCTATATTTTCAATAGGATGAGATATTCCAAAAATAGAAATTTCTAGGATTTGAGGCTAATATTTTTTAAAAACTTGTAATCTACAGGATAAGGTCCCAAACTACTTTTCTCTGGGGTTGTGGCTCAGTGGCAGAGTGCTTGCCTAACACATGTGAGGCACTAGGTTTGATCCTCAGCACCACATGTAAATAAATAAATAAAATAAAGGTATTGTGTGTATAACTAAAAATAAATAAATAAATGAATAAAACTACTTTTGTCTTTTCAACTACCTCTCGACACATCTCTCTCCCCCAATATCTAATTATCTATCTATCTAATACACACACACACACACACACATACACACACTAGTGTTAAATATGACTGCTTTCTTCTCCCTTTTTCTGGTTTCTTTGTATTTCCTGTCTACCATTTATATCTTAATATTCTTCAAGGCTTGGTTTACAACACTTCTCACTTATTTCCTTACTTGGTAAATCTCACTGTTTTTGAGGATTTCAATTACTACTTAAATGTTGACAATGATTCCCAATCTGTCTCTAGACATAATTTCAGAATCAAATTTCCGACCAAGAGATGAATACATGAATGATACCTATAAATACTGTCCACCTCTGGAGTCCAGTAATTTATATACTTAAGTCTAGTGTTAATTTATAAAAAGGATATTTCTGATATGACTATGCAAAAATCTTTGCACCAATAACCACTTAGGTTCTAGGACATTTTCCCCTAATACTTAGCCACTGCAGCAATGTAATGCTCATTTTCAATTTTCCCTTTACTACCTCTCAAACTCACCTTGTAACAGTCATTAGCAATGAGCTGTAAAAGACTAAAGGACTCGCCAGAAGTTTCCATCTTGAGATAAAGTTCCCAGGCTAGTCTTGGTTTCTTATTCATGATATCTACAAAAGGAAAGAAATAGTTATGATTTTTAAATGAAAAAGAAATAACTTCTGGCAGGGGGTGGTGGTGCACACTTATAATCCCAGCTACTGGGGAGGCTGAGGCAGGAGGATTGCAAGCTTTAGGTCAGCATGGGCAATTTAGGGAGACCCTGTCTCAAAATAAAACTTTAAAAGGGCCAGGGATATAGCTCAGTGATAGAGTAGTTGCCTAGTATGTATGAGGCCCTGGCCTCAATCCTAGTACTGAAAAAAAAAAAAAAACAGACAAAAAACGGAAAAAGGAAAAAAAAAAAGAAGACAGGAAATAACTTTTGCATATTGTTATTCTATATTCTAAATATATAAAGTAGAATACCCTTACATGGAAAGTTTGCAATGTTGACATTAAGCTGGCTGTCTACTGGAATCCTACCATATTTAAAATATTTCAGATTCATATAATTGTTTTTTAGATTGACTTGATTTCCTGTAGTTTCTACTTTGCTAATTTGCTTAAGAGGACACCTTTCATTCATTCAATCCTATTCACAGTTTTCATTCACTTAGAAAACCTAACTGCACGTGGCTCAATGGTGGCGCATTTGCCTAGCAAACATACATATAAATAAAATAAAGATCCATCAACAACTAAAGAATATTAAAAAAAAAAAAAAAAGAAAAGAAAAGAAAACCTAACTGCTAGGTTGGGGTTGTAGCTCAATGGTAAAATGCTTGCCTAGCAAGTGAGGCACTTGGGTTTGATCCTCAGCACCACATAAAAATAAATGAATAAATTAAAAAAGGTATTGTGTTCATCTATAACTATGAATATTAAAAACAAAACAAAAACCCTAATTGCTAAAATTTTCCTGTGGCTAAAAAAAAAAAAAATCAATGAATATTTGAAATCCGAGTTAAAAAAAAAAAGGAGCCAAAAAAAATAATGAGAGCACTTATAGACTATATAGTATATAAAAATATTACAATTTTGACATTTTGGCACTTTTCAGGCCTAGAAATCGAAAAGGTAAATCAGTGTGTATCATTTCACAAACAACATGGTAGACTGAGAGTTTGGAAACCTTAACGAGGTAGAAGAACTTGACATTTATCAGGACTATAAGTAGTAGGTAAGTGTTGGTTGGTGGAACTAATCATAGGATGAACTTTCCTAACATATTTACATGGCAACTCTTACTGAGTATTATTAACCACCTTTAATTTCAGTGTTTACTCATTCTTTTTTTTTTTTTTAGAGAGAGGGAGAGAGAGAATTTTAATATTTATTTTTTAGTTTTCGGCAGACACAACATCTTTGTTTGTACGTGGTACTGAGGATCGAACCCGGGCCGCATGCATGCCAGATGAGCACGCTACCGCTTGAGCCACATCCCCAGCCCAGTGTTTACTCATTCTATAGAGAAAAATACAAGAAATGCTTAAAGATTAGATAATGCTTAATGTAATTTCAAAACAGATTATAAAGTAAGAAAAATAAAAAGAAAATCATTGCTTATATTTATGTATTTAAAAGAAGACTCACAGCACCGAGCTAACCAACTGAGATAAACGTAATCATTTTTCATCTTCTCACTTTGGATCAAGAGAAACACCTACAACAAGAGGAATGAAAGGAAATAAATCTGAGAATAGTTTTGTAATAAAAACATACATTATCAGCTTACCTTAGACTGATGATCAATATAGCCTTATAGATTAATAACAAAATTAAATTGAAGAATTCAAATAAATTATTTTGAAAAAATCAAGACAATCAATCTATGGAGTTTGAAATCAAGACAGTTGTTGACCCTGGGGGAAGGGGACTGACTTACAATGGAGATGAGGGGTTTCAAGGGTTTTGATGATATTGTTTCATGATCTAGGTGATAATAACATAGGTACGTTGACTTCATTGCTATTCATCACAGGGCATACTTGTTATTTGTATACTTTTTTTTTTTTTTAAAGAGAGAGTGATAGAGACAGAGAGAGAGAGAGAGAGAGAATTTTTTAATATTTATTTTTTAGTTTTCGGTGGACACAACATCTTTGTTTGTATGTGGTGCTGAGGATGGAACCCGGGCCGCACGCATGCCAGGCGATTGTGCTACCGCTTGAGCCACATCCCCAGTGTTAGAGTCTGTAAACAAGTCAGGATGGCGCCTGGCATTTTGCCAGAGAAATGTTAGAGTCTGTAAACAAGTCTGGATGGCGCCTGGCAAAATGCCAGAGGGAGTGGTTTGTGAAGTAACACCAGCAAGCCATTAAATGTGGAGATTTCTTATTGGTTGACTGATGTATCTAGTTTATGCTAATTAGATAAGCTGTGTGGAATGTATAAATACTGCTCCTGTCCTGCAATAAACGGCTTCCACTCCTGCTGTATCAATGTACACAAGTTGTTCGTCACCCCCCGGTTATTTTGCTGCAGCCGGACTGCGGCACCCCAGCCCTGTATACTTTTCTATACATGTTATAGTTCTATAAAATTTATCAAAAAGGGTAAATATTAGTGTTATAAAACCTATATTTTGGGCTGGGATCATGGCTCAGTGGTAGAGCGTTTGCCTAGCAAGCGCAGGGCCCTGGGTTCGATCCTCAGCACCACATAAAAAACTAAATAAATAAAATATTGTGTCCGACTACAACTAAAAAATAAATATTAAAAAAACCTGAATGTCAGGCTGGGGTTGTGGCTCAGAGGTAGAGCACTCGCCTAGCACACGCACGGCCCTGGGGTCGATCCTCAGCACCACATAAAAATAAAAAAATAAAGGTATTTTGTCCAACTACAACTAAAAAATAAACAAACAAACAAAAAAACCCTATATGTCTATTCACATTATACTTTTTAAGGTAATCTAAGAACAAAAGAATCTTTAGTAGTCCTTTACCCTCAATCATTTTATTTTAGTAAGAAAAAGATAAAGATGTTTTTAGATAGACTCATTCAAATGTCTTCAAAAGCAGGTGTCTTAGTAAATGTCATTCTTTCAAACAAACAAACAAACAAAAACAATTGGTACCCACCTCTTCACCCTCACTGGTATTACCTGTTGCTGCTTTGGCTTGGGCATAATTAAAGTTAAAGATGTCATCATTATAGAAGTAACTCTGAAAAATATCCCAAAAATGGCCATAATGAGCATTAACTTTAATATAAAGTACAAAACCATTAGTTACAGTGGATAAATATATAAATAATCTCAAGAAATTAGGTTAAGTCCTTGTCTCTAATGCCACCAGAGAAAAAAGGACTACCTTATCTGTAAGAGTATCTAACTTCTGACACATTATTTATAGTATTTCATACATACAGTCATACAGATAATTCTATACGGACCTTAAATGAATTGAGGTAAATCAAGACATCATCAAATTGCTTAAGCAGGAAGAAACATGAAGCCATACATTGCCTCCCTGGAATTGTGTCTGAAATGGAAGGGGAAAAGAAACCATGGAAGTTAATGAAACTAAAAGCTCTCTTTAGTTGAAATTTGAGTTAGTATACAATTTAGAAATAGGAATAGATTCTAAGACATCTTTCTAGATTCTGCAATTACAGATTCTGTTTACTGGATCAAGCCTCAGCATAACAGAGGGCACAATACTTGAGTGACTAATAATCTCTCTGGGGGGTTAATTCCCAAAGTACAAAATGAACAAGTCTCTTCAGGTACACTGGCTCCAGTATTCCCCAGATCATTTTTTGGGTTTTGATTTTCTCATCCAACTCTAACATCTATACAATCAATGTGTCTTGATCTTCTTTATCACTTGTCTAAGACAACCTAGCACCTCCAATCTCAAATGGAGAAATAACTTGTCACAGAACCAGCAGATTCTTATCCCAATCCAACTTTGTCTGGCATCAGCCTCCTACTTGAGGTAGCAGAGGACTAGTATAACCCTGACCCCTGCCACAGGCATTCCCAAGATTCTACCCAGTTCAATTTTTTTTTCCATAGCACTTATCACAGTCTGATATATCATATAACCTATTTATGCATTATGTCCTTAGTCTATCTGTTCCACAAGACTGTAAGCTCCACAAGGGTAGGAAGTTTTGTTCATTTGTTCATTTTGTTTACTGCTATATTCATTCATCCCCAATACCTCAATACATTTTTGTTAGATGAATGAATTAATGAATAAACAAGGAAAGAAAATTATTTCACACACAGTATTGATGAAACAGTTGTGAATATCTCAGGGGTGATAAAAATATTTAACAATCTGTTGAGCATCAATAACATTAATCAGAATAGATGCCAGCCATAGACAACTGGTATAGGTAGCCAGATCAATTCATACTGGATATTAGCCCACCCCCCTTTTTTTTTTTGGTACTGAGGATTGAACTCAGGGGCACTCGACCACTGAGCAATATCCCCAGCCCTATTTTGTATTTTATTTAGAGACAAAGTCTCACTGAGTTTCTTAGTGCCTCACAGTTGCTGAGGCTGGCTTTGAACTTGGGATTTTCCTGCCTCAGCCTCCCAAACTGCTGGATTACAGGCATGTGCCATCACGCCCCAGCTACTATCAGCCCTTTCTATAGCCCTTCCTCAAATCTTACACTGAATCTATTTTTTCTTTATTTTATTTTTTAGTTGTAGATGGACACAATACCTTTATTTTATTTATTTTTATGTGGTGCTAAGGATTGAACTCAATGCCTCACATGTTCTAGGTGAGTGCTCTACCATTGAGCTACAAACCCAGCCCCTTACACTGAATCTTGACTGATGAAATCAATTACTTTAATAGTAAAAATAAAGTCACGATTACTGGGAAATATATGTGAACCTTAGGTTGCTATTCCAGGAAGAAAGCACTTTCTAAGCTTAATATCCATGTAAGAAATCATTACATAAAAGATAAATATCATTTTAATTTTTTTATATGGGTGAAAAACCACAGGCAAAGTTTAAAGGCCAATGACCCACTGGAAAAAACATGTGCAATATGACCAACAGTTAATATGTAAAGAACTATTGAGGGCTGGGGATATAGTTCAGTTGGTAGAATGCTTGCTTGAATGCACAAGGTACAATCCCCAGCATCACAAAAACAATAACAAAAAAAGAACTATTGAAAATTCAATAAAATGTAACAATTCATATTAAAACTGATTCATACTTTTAAAACTCTCATGATCTAAAGAGTAAATATATACTCATTTATTTATTTATTCTCTCATTCCACTTTAGCTAAGATACTCAGAAATGATAATTCCAATATTCTGACCTCCCACTTTATAATATGAAGCCTAACATATATCCCTGGACAAAAAAAATATGAAACTTCACCAGTTAACATTACCCAACTCCAATTGTGAGCCATTCTCATTAGTATAGATTTCAAACATACCACATTCACTTGCTGATCCTCCCACCAACTGGAAGAACTGCTGGGCAATTTTCATATGATCCCTCTGAAAAACAAAACAGAGCTGATGTAGAAGATAAGGTAAAAATATTTATTTATATTGCACTTTATGGTTCTAGTATATTTGTCAAGATTTAACATATATCCTTATTTTAAATAATGACCAAAAGAATACTGATTCTTACTAGCAAAAGCAACTATAAAGTGATAATCTGAAACTGAATGAAAACTTCTGCAGGGTCAGATAGAAAAGGAGAAGAAAAATCCAGTCCCCCAAGTCTGTTATAAAAGTCCTGGCCTTAAATAAACTTATTTACTCACTTTTCAACAAATACTTAATGTTCTTTTACCATACATTCAATTTTGGTGTAGAAGGTATGGATATAACAATGAGTGTTTGTTGAACTCACTTATTTATCAATAAGCATTTATTGCATATTTATATAAGACACTATGGAATAAATTAGAGATAAAAAGATTTACTTATATGCCACTTTGTTCCATAAAGAACTTAACAGGCCATATTAACATGGATAAGAACCTAATTTTAGAGTTTTTTGGTGCTCATAAAATATTCTCCTAGAGGAGTCAGGAGTATGATTCAGAGGTAGAGCTCATAGTTAGTAAGCACAAGGCCCTAGGTCACTCAAAGCACCTTAAAAAAATTTAAAAAAAGGCTTACCTAGAGAAATAATATTCCCTGTTTTATAGATGCCAAAATTATAGCTCAGAAATGTAAAAGGTTTTTAAAAAAACAGACACTGCTGAAAATGAGAATAAACCTTTGCAATGATCTTTTTGTTATTAAATATAAGCACTGTATAAAAGTAGGGTTCTTGTGGCTGGGGGTGTGACCTGCCAAGCACGTGTGAGGCACTGGGTTTGATTCTCAGCACCACATAAAATAAATGAATAAATAAATAAATATATTGTGTCCAACTATAACTAATAATAATAATAATAATAATAATAATAATAATAAAGAATAGGGCTCTTGGGCTAGGGTTGTGGCTCAGTGGTAGAGTGCTGGCCTAGCATGTGTGAGGCACTAAGTTCGATCCTCAGCACCACATATAAATAAATAAAGGTTCATGGACAACTTAAAAAAAAAAGTAAAAGCTTTAAAAAAATAAAGCTCTTTTTAAACAAAGTATCAATTTTTAGGGTTAGGGCTTTCTCTGTCTCTGTCTCTTTTTTTGGTCTTTAGATAAACGTTAAAAAAAATTTTTTATAGTTGTAGATGAACAGCATGCCTTTATTTTATTTGTTTATTTTTATGTGGTGCTGAGGATCGAACCCAGTGCCTTACGTGCGCAAGTCAAATGCTCTGCCACTGAGCCCCAGCCCCAATCCTTGTTGTTGTTTTTTAACAATGGAATCTAGATTTGAGGGTCTTTTTAAAAATTTTTTTTTAATTTATTTTTAATTTTTTTATTGGTGGTGCCAGTGGGGATTGAACCCAGGGCCTTGTGCATACGAGGCAAGCATTCTACCAACTGAGCTATATTCCCAGTCCTGGATTAGAGGTTTTGTAGAAATAAAAGGAATTGTAGAAGAGCCTGTGGGTAATCTTATTACTGGTTGCACTTTGATATCCATTTTGGTCTTTTCCACACATCTATCACTTTGCAAACTATGGATTAACAATAAATTCATACTCACCGAACCCATTTCCTGGCCAAGGGCTGCATTAACCACTCCTTTGAGGATATACTCCTGGAAATGTACAATAACAGTGATTAAGAAGAATTTAGAGCTGTGAGATAGATATCCTACTAGTTAATCCCTTACATCATCATGGTACTCCATACACTGAGTCACTTTTATCTATTCTATCCCTGGCTTGAATGAAAGAAGTAGGAGACTTTCATTTAATTTCCAGTAGGCATGTATTGATGCAATAGAATTCATTGTGTGTGTGTGTATGTGTGTATGTGTGGTGCTGGGGATTGAACCCAGGGCCTTGTGCATACATAAACTTCCAATCTTATTAATAACTCAGTGGAAACTCCAGGAGGATAACTTCTGTAATTCAGTTAAAGAGGAAAAACCCCCATTAAAAACCCTTGGGAGGGGGCTGGGGATGTGGCTCAAGAGGTACCATAATCGCCTGGCATGCGTGCGGCCCGAGTTCGATCCTCAGCACCACATACAAAGATGTTGTGTCCGCCGAGAACTAAAAAATAAATATTAAAAATTCTCTCTTTCTCTAGGAAAAAAAAAAAAAAAAAACAACCCTTGGGAGTCTGAGGCAGGAGGATCGAGAGTTCAAAGCCATCCTCAGCAAAAGCAAGGCACTAAGCAACTCAGTAAGACCCTGTCTCTAAATAAAATACAAAATAGGGCTGGGATGTGGCTCAGAGGTCAAATGCCCTCAGTGCAATTCCCCAGTACCAAAAACAAAAACAACAACCACACGTTCATGTGATCTTTTTTTTTTCTTCTTCTTGTCATGGTAGGGTTCAAACCCAGGGGACTTATGCATGCCAGGCAAGCACTCTACCAACTGAGCTACATCTCCAGCCTGTATGTGATCATTTTTTTTTATACTTAAAGTATGTAATTTATTGTATAACAATATTATTATATAATAATATTAACTTTTGAAGCATTGTATTGTACATAATATTAATATTTATATTAATTAGTTACTAATTATATCAATACCTAATAAAAATGGAATTTATTATGAACTAGATTAGCAGTTCTCAAACCCTTCACCTCAGGTCACTTTTATTTTTAAATTAATTAATTAATTTATTCTAATTTGTTATATATGACAGCAGAATGCATTTCAATTCATAGTACACATATAGAGCACAATTTTTCATGTCTCTGATTGAACACAAAATAGAGTCACACCATTCATGTCTTCATACATGTACTTGGGGTAATAATGTCCATCTCATTCCACTATCTTTCCTACCCCCAGTCCTATCTAAAGTTCCTCCATTCCTCCCATGCTTCCCACCCCCCATCCCCATTATAGATCAGCACCCTCATATCAGACAAAATATTCGGCATTTGTTTTGGGGGGATTGGCTGCTTCATTTAGCATGATATTCTCCAACTCCATCCATTTACCTGAAAATGCCATGATTTTATTCTCTTTTAATACTGAGTAGTATTCCATTGTGTATATATACCACAATTTCTTTATCCATTCATCTACTGAGGGGTATCTAGGTTGCTTCCACAATTTAGCTATTGTGAATTGAACAGCTAGAAACATTGATGTGGCTGTGTCCCTGTAATAAGCTGTTTTTAAGTCCTTTGGGTATAAACTGAGGAGCGTGACAGATGGGTCAAATGGTGTTTCCATTCCAAGTTTTCTAAAAAATCTCCATACTGCTTTCCAGATTGGGTGCACCAATTTACAGTCCCACCAGGAATGTATGAGTGTGCCGTGACTTTCTCCCCACATCCTTACCAACACTTATTGTTGTTTGAATTCTTTTTTTAAAAATTTTAATTTGTTACATATGACAGCAGAATGCATTACAATTCATATTACACATATAGAGCACAATTTTTCATATCTCTCGTTGTACACAAAGTAGAGTCACACCATTTGTGTCTTCATACATGTACTTAGGGTAATGATGTCCATCTCATTCCACTGTCTTTCCTACCCCCATGCCTGCTCCCTTCCTCTCCCTCCCCTTTGCCCTATCTAGAGTTCATCTAATCCTCCCATGCCCTGTCCCCCCAACCACATTAAGAATCAGCATCCTTAAATCAGAGAAAACATTTGGCATTTGGTTTTTTGGGATTGGTTAACTTCACTTAGCATAATCTTCTCCAACTCCATCCATTTGCCAGCAAATGCCATGATTTTATTCTCTTAATACTAAGTAATATTCCATTGTGTATATACTGTATATACACCACATTTTCTTTATCCATTAATCTACTGAAGGGCATCTAGGTTGGTTCCACAGTGAATTCTGCTGCTATAAACATTGATGTGGCTGTGTCCCTGTAGTATGTTGTTTTTAAGTCCTTTGGGTGTAGACCAAGGAGTGGGATAGCTGGTTTAAATGGTGATTCCATTTCCATTTTTCCAAGGATTCTCCATATTGCTTTCCATATTGGCTGTACCAATTTTCAGTTCCACTAGTGCCCTTTTCCCCACATCCTCGTCAACACTTATTGTTGTTTGTATTCTTTGGTTTTTAAAATTTTTTAGATTTTGATGAACCTTTATTTTATTCATTTACTTATATGTGGTGCTGAGCATTGAATCCAGTGCCTCACACATGCTAGGCAAGCGCTCTGCCACTGAGCCACAACCCCAGGGCTCCACCCCGACCCCTGTTCTTTGTATTCTTAATAGCTGCCATTCTGACTGGAGTGAGTAGTTTGATTTGCATTTCTCTAATTGCTAGAAATGTTGAACATTTTAAAAATTTATTTGTTGATTGATCGTATATCTTCTTCTGAAAAATGTATGTTCAGTTCCTTGGTCTACTTACTGATTAGATTATTTGTTTTTTGGTGGTAAGATTTTTGAATCATTATATATCCTGGAGATTAGTGTTCTGATATGCCTGTGGTAAAAATTTGCTCCCTCTCTGTAGGCTCTCTTTCACCTCACTGATGGTTTCTTTTCTGAGAAGAAGCTTTTTAGTTTGAATCCATCCCATTTATTGATTCCTGATTTTATTGTTTGCATTGTAGGAGGAACTACTTAATAATACTTCTTATTAAGGAAGTTGAGGCCTGATCCCACATGATGAAGATTTGGGCCTAATTTTTCTTGTATTAGGCACAGGATCTCTGGTTTAATTCCTAGGTCCTGCATCCACTCTGAGTTGAATTTTGTACATGGTAAGACTAGGGGCTTAATTTCATTTTGTTGCATATAGATTTCCAGTTTTCCCAGAACCATTTGTTGAAGAGTCTATCCTTTCTCCAATATATGTTTTTGGCACCTTTGTCTAATATGAGATAACTGTATTTATGTGGGTTAGTCTCTGTGTCCTCTATTCTGTACCATTAGTCAACAAGTCTATTTTGGTACCAATACTATGATGTTTTTGTTACTATTGCTCTGCAGTATAGTTTAAAGTCTGGTATAGTGATGCCACCTGCTTCACTCTTCTTGCTTAGGATTGCTTTAGCTATTCTGGGTTTCTTATTTTTCCAGATGAATTTCATGACTGCTTTTTCTATTTCTATGAGGAATGTCATTGGGATTTTGATTGGAATTGCATTAAATCTGTATAGTGCTTTTGGTAGTATGATCATTTTGACAATATTAATTCTGCCTATCCAAAAACAAGGGAGATCTTTCTATTTCTAAGGTCTTATTTATTTCTTTGGCGTTCAGTAGATAAATTGTAGAGGTCTTTCACCTCTTTTGTTGATTCCCAAGTATTTTTTTTTTTTTTTGAGGCTATTTTAAATGGGGTAGTTTTCCTAGTTTCTCTTTCAGAGGATTTGTCACTGATGTTTGGAAATGCCTTTGATTTATGGGTGTTGATTTTATATCCTGCTACTTTGCTGAATTCATTTATTAGTTCTAGAAGTTTTCTGGTGGAATTTTTTGGGTATTCTAGGCATAGAATCATATCATCAGCAAACAGTGATAACTTGATTTCTTATTTTCCTATCTGTATACCTTTAATTTCTTTCATCTAATTGCTCTGGCTAGAGTTTCAATAACTATGAAGTGGTGAAAGAGGGCATCCCTGTCTCATTCCAGTTTTTAGAGGGAATGCTTTCAATTTTTCTTCATTTAGAATGATGTTGGCCTGGGGCTTAGCATAGATAACTTTTACAATGTTGAGATATGTTCTTGTTATCCCTAGTTTTTCTAGTGTTTTGAATATGAAGGAGTGCTGAATTTCGTCGAATGCTTTTTTTTAATCTATTGAGATTATCATATGATTCTTATTTTTAAGTCTATTGATGTGATGAATTACATTTATTGATTTCCACATATTGAACCAAGCTTGCATCCCTGGGATGAACCCCACTTGATCACAGTGCACTATCTTTTTGATATGTTTTTGTATTCAATTGTCAGAATTTTATTGAGAATTTTTGCATCTATGTTCATTAGAGATATTGGTCTGAAGTTTTCTTTTCTTGATGTGTCTTTTTGTAGTTTTGAAATCAGGGTAATATTGGCCTCATAGAATGAGTTTGGAAGTGTTCCTTTTTTTTCTATTTCATGAAATAATTTGAAGAATATTGGTATTAGTTCTTCTTTGAAGGTCTTGTAGAACTGAGCTGTGTATCCATCTGGTCCTGGGCTTTTCTTGCTTGGTAGGCTTCTGATGGAGTCTTCTATTTCATTGCTTGAAACTGATCTGTTTAACTTGTGGATATCATCCTGATTCAGTTTGGGCAAATCATATGACTCTAGAAATTTATCAATGTCTTCAAATTTTCTATTTTATTGGAGTATAAATTTTCAAAATAATTTCTAAATATCTTCAGTATTTCTGTAGTGTCCATCATGATATTTCCTTTTTCATCACAGATGTTAGTAATTTGAGTTTTGTCTCTCTATCTCTTTGTTAGCATGGCTAAGGGTCTATCAATTTTATTTATTTTTTCAAAGAACCAAACTTTTTGTTTTGTCAATTTTTTCAATTGTTTCTTTTGTTTCAATTTCATTGATTTCTGCTCTGATTTTAATTATTTCCTGTCTTCTGCTTTTGGTGTTGATTTGTTCTTCTTTTTCCAGGGTTTTGAGATGTAATGATAGGTCATTTATTTGTTGACTTTTTCTTCTTTTAAGAAATGAACTCCATGCAATGAACTTTCCTTAGTACTGCTTTTATAGTGTTCCTGAGATTTCAATATGCTGTATCAGTGTTCACATCATTCACTTCTAAAAATTTTGATCTCCTCCTTGATGTCTTTGGAACCCATTGTTCATTCAATAGCATATTATTTAGTCTTCAGATGTTAGAGTAGCTTCTGTTTTTTATTTTATCATTGATTTCTAATTTTATTCCATTATAACCATAGAATGCAGGCTACTATCTCTATTTTTTCCTTTTTAGTTTTTGATATACCTTCATTTTATTCATTTATTTATATGTGGTGCTGAGTATTGAACCTGGGACCTCACACATGCTAGGACAGTGCTCTACCACTGGGCTACTAGGCCATCCCCCTTTTAATTTTTAAATAATTTTTTTTTAGTTGTTGATAGACCTTTATTTTATTTATTTATTTATATGTGGTGCTGAGAATCAAATCCAGTGCCTCACACATGCCAGGCAAGTACGCTACCACTGAGCCCCAGCTCTAACCGCAGTATCTATTTTTTTGAATTTGCTAAGAGTTTTGTGGCATAATATATGGTCTATTTTAGAGAAGGATCCATGTGCTTCTGAAAAGAAAGTGTATTCACTCACTGATGGATGAAATATTCTATATAAGTCTGTTAAATCTAAGTTATTGATTGTATTATTGAGTTCTACAGTTTCTAAGTTTAGCTTTTGTTTGGAATGTCTATCCAGTGGTGAAAAAGGTGTGTTAAAGTCACCCAGAATTATTGTGTTGTGCCCCAACTAAAGATGGCAATGAAAGTATCCAAAGATGTAGGCAGCTGCTTCCAGCAATGGGTTGTTGGGTTGGGTGGGGCAAGGCGGTGGTGTTGAACTGTGTGTTCAGAGATGCAGCTCTGTGGAGTATAGTTGTTGTGGCTGGTGGTTGCCTCTGGACCCAGGTGCAGGCTACCACATGAAGGGGACTGTGGCAGTAGTTGCAATGCCCCAAGATGGAGACAACTGGAGGAGCCCCACATTGGTAGATGGGGGTCTACATGGGAGTGGTAGCTGGAGCTCCTGTTTAGATGGGCAGCCTAGAGTCCTGCGTGGGTGCTAATGCTGGTGGTCCTACTTGGGCACCTGGAGGACCTGTGTGGATGAGTGACTGGGAGTACTGCACTGACACTCAGTCTTAGAGACCTGTGTGGCACAGCGGTGTGATTCCTGCGTGGGAGCAGCTATGGGGGGAGGGTCCTCTAATCACTCGGCAGAGAAACAGTATTCCCACTACTTGAATCCCAGGTCCCAGAGTGATAGAGAATGCAGCCTCTCTCTAGCCTGCCACTTTGGATTCCCCCATATGTAATCATTTTTATCACCCTATTAGTCACTGCTATTCTGTGTCCAAATCATTTATACACACACACACACACACACACACATATATATATATATTCTTTTTTCCCTTTCCAATGTTATTTTTTTTTTATTTTTTTTATTTTTTTTCCTTTCCTTTCCAATGTTATAACCTTCCTTTGTTATGATCCTTTTCCTTAAAAAAAAATCCTTCATATTTGTAAGATATTCTTCTTTTTAGAGTCTGGGGCCTCATCTGTATCCCTATTTTCAGACTTGGTTTAATTCTTTAATAGATACCTTCCTTAGCAGGTTTAGCAATTTTTCTTTAAAAGGGCCCATTAAAAAATAGCAGAAAAGGGGCTGGGGTTGTAGCTCAGTGGTAGAGCACTTGCCTAGCATGTGTGAGGCATTGGGCTTGATTCTCAGCACTGACTATAAATAAAAAAAAATAAAGATACATTGACAACTAAAAAATACATTTTAAAAACAGCACAAAGGGCTGGGGATGTGGCTCAAGCGGTAGTGCGTTCGCCTGGCATGCGTGCGGTCCGGGTTCGATCCTCAGCACCACATACAAACAAAGATGTTGTATCTGCCGAAAACTAAAAAATAAATCTTAAAAAAAAAAAAAAAAAAATTTCTCTCTCTCTTAAAAAAAATAGCACAAAAGATGCTGAAACTTCTAATACATTTGAGAAATATAACTGCTTATACTCCAAGGGGTCTGGTAATATTTTCATTCAGTCCTTCATTCAATAAAGAGAATACCTATTGTGTACTTAGTATACACTGTTGGAGATATAATACAGATAAATTCCCTAACTATAAGAAATTAACAATCTAATGGGGGATAAAGACAAGTTACAATTATACTAGTGAGATAAGTACATATACCTGTTAGTTTTATCAGAATTCTATGTTTTAATATATCAAACATTAATCTTTTGAGGAATCAACTCCATATAAGGGATTTTAACCAAAAAAACCCAGAACAACCACCATTTGACCCAGCTATCCCTCTCCTCAGTCTATACCCAAAGGACTTAAAAACAGCATACTACAGGGATACAGCCACATCAATGTTTATAGCAGCTCAATTCACAATAGCTAAACTGTGGAACCAACCAAATGCCCTTCCATAGATTAATGGATAAAAAAATGTGGCATATACACAATGGAATATTACTCAGCAATAAAATAGAATAAAATCATGGCATTTGCAGGTAAATGGATGGAGTTAGAGAAGATAATGCTAAGTGAACTTAGCCAATCCCAAAAAACCAAATGCTAAATGTTTTCTTTGATATAAGGAGGCTGATTCATAGTGGGATAGGGAACGGGAGCATCGGAGGAATAGACGAACTCTAGATAGGGCAGAGGGGTTGGAGGGGAAAGGAGGGGGCATGGGGTTATTAATGATGGTGGAATGTGATGATCATTATTATCCAAAGTACAGGTATGAAGGCACGAATTGGTGTGAATACACTATGTATACAACCAGAGATATGAAAAATTGTGCTCTATATGTGTAATACGAATTGTAATGCATTCTGTTGTCATATATAAATAAATAAATAAAGGCCCAGAACATTCATTCTCATATCAAAAGTCTCGTAAAACATTCCTAGATCAATATACATAGTCTCTTTTGGCATTCTACAAGCAGGACTCTTCTCTAATATATCTCCTATCTATATTTCCAAAGTTCCACTTTCCATATTCTCTATTACCTGAGGAGTAGTAGGTTCCAGATCCTTAATTAAATTATAAGCTTCTTGTACATCATCTGAAATTTAAGAAATAAACATATCAATGTTTTTAAGCAAACCCTTCTGATGCAGTCCCAAGAAAGATTAGATCTTCCATATTCAAATTTTCACAGAAAATAGGGTTGAAGATATAGCTCAGTTGTAGAACATTTGTCTCACATATTCAAGGCCCTGGGTTTGATCCCCAACCCTGTAAAATATACACTCACAGACAATATCATCTGTTTTGTCTGCCCTCTAATTCTCCATCAAGTTGTTGGAGAATCTTGCACAGTTATACCAAAGATAATCAAATATCCTTAGAAAACTTATATTAAACCATGAGACAGACACCTAAATATGTTCAAGCCAAGAATATGCAAATGGCATTGTTTTTCGATAAGAAAAATGACCATTTTAAAAACCGTATAAGAATGGAATGATGAAGTCTAAGATTTGCTTTAAAATTTTCAGGAACAGGGGCTGGGGATGTGGCTCAAGCGGTAGCGCGCTCGCCTGGCGTGCGTGCGACCCGGGTTCGATCCTCAGCACCACATACAAACAAAGATGTTGTGTCCGCCGAAAACTAAAAAATAAATATTAAAAATTCTCTCTCTCTCTCTCTCTCTCTTTAAAAAAAAAAGAAAAATTTTCAGGAACAAAAAAATTAAGTGGTGGATAAAAAAGATTGGCAATATCTTTAAAATTATTGAATCTGGAGTTCTTGGGCATTTATTATAATATTTACTTTTGTTCACATTTAAAATTTTTCATAATAGCTGGGAGTGGTGACGCATGCCTATGATCCCAGAAGCTTGGGAGGCTGAGGCAGGAGGATTTCAAGTTCAAAGCCAGCCTCAGCAACTTAGAGAGGCCGTAAGCAACTTAGCAATACCCTGTCTCAAAATAATAATAATAATAATAAAGGGCTGGGGTGTGGCTCAGTGGTTAAGCACCCCTAGGTTCAATCCCATGGTACAAACAGAAGAAAAAAATTTTTTCATAATAAACTAAATTTATAAAATGTATACACTGTTTCTTTAATTCTTGTCCAAAAGTATGTCTTTTTACTTATATATAAAACAGAGAGGACTGTTTGCAAGTCCATATTGTCATTTTAATAACCACATTTTTTTCAATGAGCAAAATGTGGTCTGGTTGGTTTCTACCACATACCTAAAAAGGCCCTCACTGTTGGTCTGCCTCTTACCCTCTCCTCTTTTTCCTCTTCCAAGACAGACTGCCACCACAAATGCATGGTAGCCACTACCCTGTCCTGGGAACTTAGGGAAAAACGACTTGAGGCATGTGTCTAAGGGTCTTTGTTTAGGGTCAATAGATATCACATTCTCTTTGAATCATGTATCTCATAAGGTGCCTGGGGTACACAGAAACAGACAGACAATTAGGATAAGTTTTAAAAGTTAATAATTTCTAAAAACCACACAAGAAAATGTGAATATATATTATATATAAGGAGGAACGAGAAAAAGGACGAACTACTACAAGGGAAATGGAAGAAAAACATGAGAAATCAAAAGGGAATGGATAGAAGACAGAACAATTAGAGGGAAAAAAAGAAAAACAACAAGGAAAAAGTAGGTACTAACAGAAGAGGAAAGAGAAGAAAGAAAAAGCACATTAATAAGCACCAATAAATTTGTTATGTCCTATGAACTTGTTGCAAATGTACCTTTGGAAGGATTACAGATTTAAAAAGTTTAAGCAAGTAGTTCAATCAGAGGTTAAATATTTTTAAATTCTCATTATAAGACTATAACACATTTTTCTTACCTTGACGAAGGTAGTAAATCACGAGGTTTAGCCTAGCTTCAGGAATGACATCAACCAGAGGCGGTAAAACCTGTAAGGCCCCTTCTCCTCCTCGGAAAACAACCTAGAGATACAGAAATTATGTTACTGCAGCACGTATATATTTATTAGTGAAAATGTTTAAAAATTGGGTTCATGATATCCCACTAAACCAGCCCTGGGAATCAGTTAACACATTGGGAATATTTATTGTTGGATGAATTATTACCTAATTCTTATGCCTCTTACCCTCTCCTCTCTTTCCTCTTCTCTACTTTTGATCCTTCTTAACACCCCTGTCATATTTAAATATTTCACTTTAACCCTGAAACTGACCTAAAACCATCACTCTCTTTATCCTTTTTCTTCTTTTATTTATTTATTTCTTTTGTGGTACTGGGGATTAAACTCAGGGGTGATTTACCACTAAGCTTCATTTCCAGCCCTTATCATATTATGTTTTGAGGTGGGGTCTCACTACACTGCCGAAGCTGGCCTCTAACTGTGGGTTCTCATTTCTCAGTCTCCCAAGTAGCTGGAATTCAATGAGTCAAAGTGGGCTAGATGTGTGGCACACAGCAGATTATATTTTATTTAATTAATTCAGTTAATATTCAATAGCACCTCCTATATGCCTGTTTTTATAATAAGTACTGGGGTTACAGCAGGAACAAGTCACTCCCCTGCTACCCTACAGACTGTTCAAGCGGGGGACAAATAAATTTTATCTATAGAAAAAAGCTAAGAAACCAAAAACAGAAAAAACATCCATGAAAGGAGAATTGGTTTTGCACACTGTTGTATTTCCAGAGCCTAACACAGTGCCTAATACATAGTAAGTTGTTTCACAATATATAGAAATCAAGGCTATCAGGCATGAACTACATAATCTCTTCATTTTTACCTCAATTTTCCTATTTTGTCATCATTTTGGTACCTCTGCAGTAGTCCCTTGTTTTTCCAAGATTAACTCCTTTGTCTGTCTTCTTTCTTATTTACTGGTACTGGGAATTGAACCCAGGAGTGATCTACCACTGAGCTATATTCCCAGCCCTTTTTATTTTTTGAGACAGGATCTTTCTTGTTGAGACTGGCCTTGAACTTGTGATCCTCCTATCTTAGCCTTCTGAGTAGCTGGGATTATAAGAATGCATCACCACACCAGATTCACGTGCCTTTTTTTTTTTTTTTAATTTTTTTTGTAGTTGTAGATGGACAGAATGTCTTTCTTTATATTTATGTGGTGCTGAGGATCAAACCCAGTGTCTCACACACACTAGGCAAGTGCTCTGCCACTGAGCTACAGCCCCAGGACACCTGGCTTTTTTTTAATAGGTATTTTTTTAAATAGGTCTTTTTATATATTTTATAGATGAACACAAAACCTTTATTTATTTTTATGTGGTGCTGAGGATCAAACTCAGTGCCTCACACATGCTAGGCAGATGCTCTACCAGTGATCCACAACCCCAGCCCCTCACCTGCCCTCCTGATCCCATGCCTCCTGACTCCATGTGAACCTTGTCTCTCCATTGATCGATGTATCTTCACTCTTACTGAAGCATTGGTCCTACTTCTCAACTTTAAACACACAGGGGTTTTGTTTTCTTGAAGTCTTCCACTTGGCCCCATTGTTCCTTCAGAGAGTGCCCTATTTTTCTTTCTTTCAATGCTATGTTTCTAAAGTATGTAGCTTACTGCTTCTAATTTCTTCTTACCTTCTCATTCCTTAACCTCCTCCCTAAACTGGCTTTTTCTCTCAGCACATTAGTAAACATACTCCCTCAAGTCACAAATTAACCTATTTAACCAAATTCAAAGAACTTTTCTGTCTGCTTGCTCCAGTGTGTCTGCAATTGTGACACTGTTGACTTCAAGATGACACTATGAATAACAGCACCATTTACTAAATGCTTACTTCAGACAGAGTATCCTTAATCTGCAAATCCCAAATCTGAAACTTTCTGATTACTGACTTGATGCCACAAGTGGAAAATTCCACGTGATCTCATATGACAGGTCACACTAAAAATATTATGTAGGTTATCTCCAGGCTATGTATATAAGGTGCATATGAAACATAAGTGAATTTCATGTTTAGACGTGGGTCCCATCCCAACCACATCTTATGTGTTTGCAAATTTTTAAAAATCTGGAATCTGAATTATATATGGAAGAAAAACTTTTGGTCCCAAGCTTTTCAGATAAGTTATAATCTGTATTTGCTATATAAAAGTACCTTATACACAATATTTTATTTATATTTTATACAAAAAATAAGTACTTCAATTTTTCCTATTTTACATGAGAACACTGAAATCCAGTAATGTTAAGTGACTTACCTGAAGTCACAAAGCTAGTACATAGTACAGTGTGATTTTGACCTCATATCTGACTTCAAAAATTGATATTCTTAACAATCATTTATATTGCTTTAACATTTTTCAGACTTTCAAAAAATTACAGAAATATTATGTGGTTATTAGAAAAAAACTTAAATACAGCATCTCAAAGGAAAGAGGAAATTTCTGTATTCTTACTTCCCTCTCTAATTCTATTCTCCAAGGCTAACTCCATTTACTATCTAATGTGTTTCTTCCAGTTCTATACACATATAGTGTTTCTTTACCTTGAGCTGTACATTACATCCATCTAGGAAGCTTTTAAGAAAAACACTAGTAGCTGGATCCCAATTCAACCATTAAATAAAAATCCCTGGAAGATTGGGTGTGGTTGTATGTACCTATAATCCTAGCTACTTGGGAGGCTGACTTAGGAGGATCATTTAAGCCCAGGAATTCAAGGCCAACCTGGGCAACATAAAGAGACCATTCACCACCCCACCCCCAGAATATATGTATATCTAAGAATCCCTGGGGTTAGAGCCCATAATTAGTTTCAAAAGCCTCCCAGATGATTAAAATGGGCAGTTGTAAGTGACATGACATTATCTAGGTTGGTTCTTCTTTTTTTTTAATATTTATTTTTTTAGTTGTAGTTGAACACAATACCTTCATTTTATCTATCTATCTATCTATCTATCTATCTATCTATTTATTTATTTATTTTAATGTGGTGCTGAGGATCGAACCCAGGGCCTCACACGTGCTAGGCAAACACTCTACTGCTGAGCCACTATCTCAGCCCCTAGGTTGGCCCTTCTTGTCTGCCCTTTCTTGTCTCATATGCTGACTCTCCTTTCTCTGGCCCCCTAAGTACAAATGCTCTTTTGAAATCATAAATTTATATTTTTAATCCTTTCTTCCATATATATCCATGGTGTTGTTTTTTTGTTTTCGTTGTGCTGCGGATTGAACTCACGGCCTTGTGCATGCAAGGTAAGCACTCTACCAACTGACCTATATCCCCAGCCTTTCTTCCATATATAATTGTCAGGACATCACCAAGTGAAAATCTTCCATATTTATTTGCCGAGACTCTTATGATAACTCTTAAACTTAGCCTTGAACCAAGGGGAGCTTAGCCACTGAACCATGTCTCCAGCCCTTTTTATATTTTATTTTGAGACTTGGTCTCATTAAGTGGTTGAGGCTGGAATCCTTGCAATCCTTCCAAGGTGTTGGGATTATAGGTATGCACCACCATGTCCAACATACTCCAAACTTAAGTTCCAACCTATTATCTCAAATGCTTTATTCTCCATAAAAGATATAATTGAACTTATAAACTAGTTTAGAAGTGAAAAAATTAGCAGCAGGAGCCCATAATAGAAGCTATCCAAATACAATTTTATCTTTGATGGAGAATTGATCTAGAGAAGAAATGGATTTAATATAAGTCATTGCAAAGAATTACTAGAGTTTAGTGACTAGTAGATATTAGAAAAAAAAGTTGGGCACAGGGTGCATGCCTATAATCCCAGCAGTTCAGGAGGCTAAGACAGGAGGATCATGAGTTCAAAGCCAGCCTCAGCAATGATGAGGTGCTAAGCAACTCAATGAGACCCTGTCTCTAAATAAAATGCAAAACAGGGCTAGGGATGAGATCAGTAATTGACTGCTCCTGAGTTCAATCCCTGCTATCAAAAAAAAAAAAGATATTAGAGACAAAGGGAAGGGGAGAGTCTAAAATAGCTGTGGTTTTCAGCTTGGGGACTAGAAGAATTAATGCTAAAAAACCCAGAGAAATCAGAAGGAAAATATAAAGTTATTATTATCATGATTTACCGATGAGGAAACTGAGACTCAGCAATATTACCTAACTTGCCCAAAGTTCCTGGTATCTGAGTTGAAAGCAGCTGTACTGTATCTCACTACATTACATGATCAATAGAATCAAACTTAATCTGAGCTCAGATTTTTTTTTTAAAGCAATGGCCATCATAATCTAGCCCTAAACCTAACCACCCCGCCCAACTTTACTTTCCACTATTCCCCAGTACAAACTTACTTACTTCCAGTAAAATCAATGTGTTTGCAATCCTTCATATATCACGGTTGTTCAAGGTCCATGTCCCAGAAAATCTTGGCCTTCTTTCCAAGACCAGAAAATCTTTGCCATTTTTTCTACCCACAAGGATATATTTTCTTTGGTCAAAAACCAAACATTGGGATCTACACTGCCTTGAGCTTCCTTCCAAAGGTAATATATATATCCCTGCCCTCCCAAAAAAGATTTCCTCAAGGAAAGGGACTGATATCCTCAACTCATTTTCTCTCTTTCTCAATAAGGAGGCATTCCTTTGGAGAGGACCAATATATGTTGGGGCATCTCCTTTTATTCATCTTTCTAATTTCTGGGATGTACCAAAGTAGAGTAGGACTGAAGTCAGTCAAGACGGGAAACCGTTATTCACCAGATTGTGCCTGATGAGTTCTTTAGCAAATTCAAAGGATGAAGAAGCATTGTCCATCAAGCTTTTGAGTTCTGCCTGAAAATTAAAAAGCAAAGATTTATGAAAATAGCAAGTATATACCTCTTATTCCACATATTTATACAATGATTTATATTTTACAAAGAATTTAATGTGCTATTTCATTTGATTCTCATGACTCTGCCAGTGTAATTATTATTCTTCATATTTTATAGACAAGAACAGTGAGGCTTATAAAAGTGAAGAGTCTTGAAACTCATACTAAGCAGCAAGTTTGAAAAATAGCACCCTCATGTCTGAAAGCTCCTAGAGTAAAACTTTTCTCTCAGTGCCAACAGTGATAAGGTAGCTAACCTTTAACAACTAAGGTTGATTCTTCAATTTGACCCACATCCTGATTCTCATGGTTCCTCCCTCCTTCCTGCTAAACTGACTTTTGTTTACATAACATAATCCAAGTGTCTTTTCCTTTGTGTCTTATTATTTCCTAGGTCTTCTCTTGACCCCTTTACTCACTCAAGGACAAATGGTCAGGGCTATATAGTAGCCTGCTGAGAAATTCTGTCTTTAATAATAATTCCTTAATTCCTATTACTGTGAAGTTTAAATAAATTAGCCAGTTAAAAGAAGAAAAAAAAAGAAAGAAAGAAAGAAAAACAAATGGTCAGCATTTCCACAGTGTCTTCACTAAGTCCCTAGGTTTATTATTCCCTTCCTCAACTTTCTGCTATTTCTACCTTAACAATCCATATTTTTAAAAATTTCATTAGTTTTTTAAGCTACATATAACATTTAGGATTCATTCTGACATAGTTATAAAGGCATGGAACATAATTTGCTCTAATGCAGTCTCCTTTTTCTCTACTCCTCCCACCTTCTGTTCCCCTCTACTGATTTTTTTTTTTTTTTTTTTTTGGTACTGGGGATTGAACCCAGGGGCACTTAAACACTCAGCCACATCCCCAGTCCTTTTTTATATTTTCTTTAGAGACAGGGTCTCATTGAGTTGCTTAGGATCTCGCTAAATTGCTGAGGCTGGCTTTGAACTTGTGATCCTCCTGCCTCAGCCTCCTAAACCACTGGGATTAAAGGCGTATGCCATCACAGCTGGCTCTACTCTACTAATCTTTCTGCTATTTACTTATAGTTTTTTGCAAAATCCGTATTTTTGAGTAATCTTCCTCTATTCTTTTCTACTCCCATTAGTGGATAGTTAAGATTTTCTGTATAAAATTGTTGAATTCTTACTAACCTCTACAAACTCACTCCACTTGATCTCAGCTGGGAGTGTACATCTTTTTAGCAATCTCCACGCCCTGCCCCCCACCTTGTTTCCTTTTTGTGGTAGGGATTGAACCCAAGGCCTAACACGTGCTAGGCAAGCACTGTAGCTACACCCTTATCCTTTTATTATTTTATCTTGAGACAGTGTCTTGTTAAGTTGCCCAGGCTACCCTCAAATCTTAAATCCTCAGCCTCACCAATTGCTGGGATTATAGGCATGTATAACCACACCCACCAACAATCCTTTTATTAATCCCTTCTTTGTCCACCACAGAAATTCAAATTTTTGGGTAATACTAGGCTAGATTAGCAGTAGTTTTTTTTTTTTTTTTTTTTAGTCCTTTTAGACTCAAAATCCCTTTTATACTTTAAGGATCTCAAAGGGCTTTTGTTTATGTGAGTTATAGCCATTTATATTTATCATAAAAGAAATTAAAACAAAATTTTAAGTATTTGGTTAATCAAAAATAGCAGTAATAGGGGTTGTAGCTCAGTGGCAGAGCACTCGCCTAGTATGTGCAAGGCGCGAGGTGCTGGGTTCAATCCTCAGCACCACATAAAAATAAATAACTATAATAAAGGTATATTGTGTCCAACTACAACAACAACAAAAATTTAAAAACAATAGTAATAATAACCCCACTACATGTAAACATAAATATTTTTTATTTTAACAAAATGATATTTGCCAACAAAAATTTGGTGAGAAAAGTGGCTCTGTTTAACATTATCTATGAATATCCTTATTACTGTATGGTTTAATACAAGATGAATAAGCTGGCAGGACCAGCATGGACCAGAGGTAAGACAAATGAGCTGCCCAGGATACATGGAAGAAGGTGCTTTGTGCGAGTGGTGTGAGCACCCACACTTAAACTCCATTCCCAGGCAGCCCACCTGCTTCATTCTGTCCTGGCCCTGCCTCAAAGGCTCCGAGACATGGGTCTCAGGGACCCTTAGGTTCTCAGATAACATTTTTTAAAATTTTTGGTTTTGGGGGGGTACCAGGGATTGAACTCAGGGGCACTTGATCACTGAGCCACCTCCCCAGCCCTATTTTGTATTTTTATTAGAGACAGGGTCTCACTGAGTTGCTTAGGGACTTGCTAAATTGCTGAGGCTGGCTTTGAACTTGTGATCTTCCTGCCTCTGTATCCAGAACCTCTAGGATTATAGGTGTGCACCACCCACGCCAGGCCCCAGATAACATTTTGATGGCCACTAGGCTAGATTATTCAAATTACTGCTCCCACTGGGGAAAAAAAAAACTAAAAACAGAGAGGAATTATTAAAACATTTTCTTAAGCATGCCAAAGAGATGACAAGGAAAGAGCTGTCAGGTCAAAATGAAGGAGAAAGAATAAATCCAGAGAAGTAAGAAAGCATGGCTGTCATTTTTCTCCCTGGAAGCCCACACACTCTATAAAATTAGAACTTTTAATTGATAATCTGCCCAGGCAAGAAGGACAAAAAACAAAGCCTAGGGCAAGAACAAGGTGGGAAATCTAAAGGAGACCCTTCTCACAATCATCTGGGATTCCAAAGAGCCACACTGGTAAAGGAAGGATGGAACAGAACTAGAATAAGCCTTGCACAGAAATACAGCTCAGTTAGAATCCGGTGTACAGTTAGGGACTCTCTGTTCTTAGCTTTGGTTTAAGGTGGGCTCAGTCTCAGAGTTCTACCAAGCACTTGGTGAGAGAGCACATATTCTTTTTTTTTTTTTTTAATATTTTTTTAGATGTTGATGGACCTTTATTTTGTTCACGTAATTTTATGTGGTGCTGAGAATCAAATCCAGTGCATCACACAGACTAGGCAAGCGCTCTACCACTGAGCCACAACCCCAGCTCCAGAAAATATATTCTTTAGGGAGGAAAGTGTCTTCATTGCAGGTGTTAAGTTAGTCCTATAAGTAATTTTTCAAATAGTGTCCAGCACACAAAGATAACCTGAAATAGGGAGAAACTGAATTCCATAAGGAAGAATCAGGAGAAACAAACCATATAAATTTCAGAAATTCAAACTCTGAAGCTCAGATCACAAAACACCCATGTGACAATGTTTAAGAAAATAAAAGATAAAAAGGGGAAATACTGGAGAATGATAGGTCAAATTATATTTGTTATAATGTGAGCATGTATGAATATATAATAAAAATCCCACCCTTATCTACTATAACACACCAATAAAAATATGGTGCAGTGGCTCATGGCTGTCATCCAGCTTGAGAGGCTGAGGTGGGAGGATCATGAGTTCAAAGCCAGCCTCAGAGATGGAGAGGTGCTAAGCAACTCAGATCCTGTGTCTAAATAAAATACAAAATAGGGCTGGGGGTGTGACTCAGTGGTTGAGTTCCCTTGCATTCAATATCCAGTAACCCCCTCCAAGAAAAAAGCGGGGGGAAAAAAGAAAACAAAAAATAAGCACTAACAAAGAAAACAGGAAGCTGAGAAAAACAAAGATTATTTAAAAGCAAAAACTTTGACAAATGTAACAAAGAAGTGTAAAACTTATCTCCTGAAAACTATAAAACATTGTTGAAAAAAATTAAAGAACATCTACATATAGGGGAAAACATTCTATATTCATTGATTGGAAGACTTAATATTGTTAAGATAGCAATAATCTCCAATTAATCTACAGATTCATTGTAATCCCTACTAGAATTCCAGTTGAGTTTTCTGTAGAAATTAATAAACTAATTCTAAAATTCATATTGAGTTGCAAAAGACAAGAACAGCCCAGACAATGTTGAAGGAAAACAAAAACAAATTAGAAGAACCCACACTTTCTGACTTAAAAATTTGCTACAAAAGAACAGTAATCAAGGGCTGGGGTTCTGGCTCAGTGGTAGAGGGCATGCCTAGCATGTTCGAGCACTGGGTTTGATCCTCAGCACCATATAAAAATAAATAAATAAATGAATGTTTAAAAAAATAAATCTAAAAAAAAAAAAAGAAGAAGAAGAGTATTGGTGTAAGAGATAGACATATAGAATGATGAAACAGAATTGAGTCTAGAGATTAAATCTATGTACCTGTCTATGGTTATCTGACTTTTAACAGGGATGCCAAGAATGTTCAATGAGGGAAAAAATAGTCTCTTCAACAAATGGTTCTGGGACAACTGGATATTCACATGCAAAACAATTGTATCCCACACCATATACAAGTATTAACTTGAGATGAATCAGAGCCCTAAATCTAAGAGCTAAAATTATAAACCCTTGGGTTGGGGATATGGCTCAAGTGGTAGCATGCTCGCCTGGCATGTGTGGGGCACTGGGTTTGGTCCTCAGCACCACATAAAAATAAAATAAAGATATTGTGTCCACCTAAAAAAACCTAAAAAGTAAATATTTTTTAAAAATTATAAAACTTGGGGCTGGGGATGTGGCTCAAGTGGTAGCGCGCTCGCCTGGCATGCGTGCGGCCTGGGTTCGACCCTCAGCACCACATACAAACAAAGATGTTGTGTCTGCCGAAAACTAAAAAAATAAATTAAAAAAAATTATAAAACTCTTAAGAGAAAAATGAGGGTAAATCTTCATGATTAGATTTGGCCAAAGATTCTTAGATATGACACCCAAAACACAGCAACACAAGAAAAAAATAGACAAATTTCACTTCATCAACATTTAAAACTATTGTGCTTCAAAAACCACTATTAAGAAAGTGAGAGCCAGTCATGATGGTGTACTCCTGCTATCCTAGCAACTTGGAAGGTGAGGCAGGAGGATTGCCAGTTCCAGGCAAACCTCAGCAACTTAG